GACGGTGAGGCAATGGCTCCTCACCCCTCCGCTCGCAGACGCTCACCACCCACCGAGGCACACCGAGGTTCACTGACACTCACTGAGGCTCACCGAGGAGAACCGTGTGAGGGTAAGGCCATGGTTCCCCACCCCTCCGCTCGCAGGTGCTCACCCTCCCACCGAAGCTTACTGAGGGGTACGCTGTGTGAGCGGCGAGCTCAGGGCTCCTCACCTGCCCTCTCTCATCAGCTCACCCGCCAACTGAGGCTCACCTAGGAGAACGCCGTGTGACGGCGAGGCCAAGGCTTCTCACCCTTCCGCTCGCAGGCGCTCACCCACCCACCTGAGCGCATCGAGGGGTACTGAGTGTGAGCTCAGGACTCCTCGCCTGCCCTCTCTTAACTGCTCACCCGCCTACCGAGGCTCACCGAGGAGGACGTCGTGCAAACGATGAGCCTATTGCTCCTCATCTTCCAAGTAAGCGGTGAACAAACGACTGTTCACTCCCCCATTCACAGCTGCTCACCCGCCCACGGACGCTCACTGAAGAGACCGCTGTGTGAGCGGTGAGCCAGTGGCTGTTCACCCTTCCGCCTACTGGTGTTCACCCGCCCACGGATTCCATCCACCCACGGAGGCTCACCGAAGACAATGCAGAATGAGCCTACTTGCCCACCAACCTATCCCACTCCCACTAACCCATGGCTGCCCACCCATCCGCCCGCACTTGCGCACCGAGAAGAACGCTGAATCAGCGGTACGCCCTTGCACCAACCCACCCCAATCGTCTAACCCAACTACCCATTCACCCACCCATCTGGACATAGCTTCCCACCCACTCACTGAAGCTCGCCGAAAAGAACGACGTGTGAGCGATGTGCCCATGACTGCTCTTCGAATGTCATGTGAGCCAACCACCCATCCAACTGGCCGCCCGCCCATCAACCCACCCAACTACTCATTTATCTAGACATTCACCCCCCCCGTCCTCCCACCTACATACCTATTCATTAACACACCTACCCACCTACCCGTTCACGCAGCCACCTTCCATAGCTGCTCCCCCCCACAAATTCTGCAAGAGGTGCGGCGGCTGTTGTGAGGGTGAGAATGTATGAGTGGTGAGCGGCACGGTGAAAGAAATACAGTGCGAGTGAGCGGCAATGATCTCGGGTGAGCGTCGTCTCAGAGAGCGTCCGACGCAGAAGAATCGACGGCGGTCGTTGTCGTGCCAAAGAGGACGATGTGTCGCGCGCGACGCTGACGTCGACGTCCCAGGGCGCACGCGCTGCGAGTGGACAATCCTCTGTGATTGCCCGCTGCGCGCGCCCTCGCTGGACACCGGTCGCCTGGCTGCACTCGGAAGAGGAGCTCTTCCCTCCCCTCCACCCCTTTACGACTCAACTAACGCTGTTTCTCCAACCGAATAGCGCTACTTAGCGCTGCCCGCGCGCACTCAGCCAGCCGGTGTTACGCTGCAGTTCATTTCGGAAAACATCGTCTCTAATGGTCCCCACAGGTTAACATAGTTTGAATGGAACGCTTCATGTTAACATATAATTGTTTAATTTTGTAATTGAACAATTTAAGTCAGTGATGCGAATATCCACTCCTAAGTGAAAAAAAGTTCCGGATATCCACTTCCAAATGTAAAGTATTAAATTTCTGATATTTCAATTTATGTTGTATTGTGGGTATGAGTTATCCTGGCGTTAAATATCGTGGTATTCGATGTTATTATAGTAGCGCTAGTTTACACAAATTATGATACACTGAAATCTGTTCAAAATAATATCTAAATTTTAATCAAACTTACATTTCATTAGCTGTTTTGGTATTTGTGCATTGTTTAAGGCTTTGTTATCACATTCACTTTAGATTCAATAGTATTTTGTTGCTTATTGAGAAGTGTCTAAAATGACATTTATTTGAGTTACATTTAATCGATGGTTTTCATGATATCAGATAGTGATAGTCGATGAAAAAATCTCTCTTCATCTCTTAACTAAATAAAAATAACTTTTAGCTGTTGTTCAAATTTAATTGATATATTAAAAAGGTGGTTATGATAAGTATCTCATTTGAAACCACGAGCTACAAGAAGAATCACCTGACTTTGGACGCGCAGTAATAGTGGTGAAACTGATGTATTGCAAATTGATATCAAATTTCGTAGTTATAGCTAACATTTATAAAAGGGAAGATCTGTTTTCGTCCTTTTAAACTTTTACTATCGTCAACGTTTACTACTATTTAGTACATGAACCAATGCGTTTAAAACTATTAACAATGTATTAACGTTTTATTGCTCGAAAAATATCTAGTTTTTGCAGATTTTTGCAATATGTTTTTCTTTTCCATTAGGGAGACATCAGTTGTACAAATATCACTTACAATCCCATGACCTGTGAATGTCTATGACAAAATATTTTTTGTTATTCGCTCTAGTCATTGTGGATAATTGGTTAAGTTTGCATTGTACTTAAATGTTAATTAGTTTATTCACATTATTATTTCGAGAGGTCTCCATTTGTCACGTGATTCCTCTTCTAGATAAATTGAAAGGCTGAGTAGCTGTTTTATGTTGAGATGAATAGGAAATTGCCAATTTACTTCTGTAGAGAAAATTCGATTTAATATTTGCAGGAATATATTTTTCAACTTCAAGATACTTCATGCGATCAAATCATACGATTTGTTTTTGATGTGTGAATTTATCTATAATCTTTCACAAATTATAAAAAACGGCAGGAAATATTTACATAAAGTGTATTCCAGAACACACAGTAGTAGTATTTATTTCAATGAGTAACTACTAAATATCTTTCCTAAATGTGATGGGAAAACTTAAAACGCAACATGAAAAACAGCCGTAGAACTATTCGCCTCAGGAGAACCATCATATCATTTCATTCGTCTGATCATCTTTATTCTTCATATTCTTGGACAAATTGTTCATTATTTCTATATTTTGAACAAAATCTTAATGACTTCTAAGGACATTTTTTAGTAAAATAAAATTTATTAGTTGACTTTTTTTATTCTTCAGCAAATTCAAATAATAAAATCTTCATAAATGCACTCATTACTGAAGACAACAACACTCCAGGGTCATGATAGTACACCAAAAGGAAATGAATACACTCAAATTCTGAATTATATTGGAATCTATACGAATAACTACTCTAGAGAACTCTGTTTCTTGTCTTGAAGGTTCTTGTAATGTATGTTTGTATAATGTTATTATGCACGAACCTAAACATAAAATTTGTACAATCCAGATGAGCTGAAAGTACCTCAAGAAATTTCATGATAATAGTGTGTTTATATTATTTAAAACATATATTCATAAAATTATTTAAATAAAATGTGCATGAACAATGTTAAAATTTTACCATTTTTGTACTCAAAGTTCACAACAAAAAGCAACACACATTTAATGAGTAATTGTATTGTGCAGAAAATTTTGATAGGTCTGAGAAGAACAGCATTCCCCAGTGCTTCCCAGACTATTTAAAATGTGATAAATGGTTTAGGGTACCCTCTGGTAATAAAGACGTGTTTTAAGAAGCAACATCTCTGCGTTCATCTCTGCAGATCTGTCTGACAGTGGAAATAGTTTCAGCTGCAAGACAGGAAACGTAACCACCATACCCCGCCCGTCCGACACTATCATCAATGCAAG